TCTCTTGCACAGTGTCCCATTTTCTTTTGTCTAATTCTGGCTGTCACAATGCTGAATACAGCTCATTACTCTGTAGTCTTTCCCCTTGTCTTATATTATGTTGCATGCAAAGCTTCCATTCTTTCTGTAAAACTTTAACAAGCTTATCGGCTGGGACAGACAGAAGACTATGCTTTGCTTGCATTTGCTCAGTCTTCATAAATGGTGATGAAGAATGACTGCATTTCCACATGAGTAGTGACATTTTTAAGTTATACTGATAGGAAAGATCCAAATTACTGCAGTTCCCACCAAAATATATAACAAGGGATCTTAAATTCCATTTAAATTGAGTTACAGATATTTGTAGATGGAATAACATCTACATTCATGGATTTTGAAGTACATATTTTTTCTAGCTTCTTGCAGTTGGTCAGCCAATCAAGTAGGCAATTGCATACAACAGATGCCTTATTGTAATGTTAGAACATGGGTTTGTCTTTAAGATTTCTGTTTTCATTTCCTAAATAAAAGGAACTTCTAAGAACAATTAGAAGTACTTTTCTTAGGGTTACTGCCAAATTTATCTAAAAGAAAAACTGTTTGTTCACCATCTCTCTCTGAATGTTAGAAACCTGTCCACCTTATTTATCATTTTCTCACTGAATCTCATTTAATTAAAATTAAATTATTTGAAAAAAAAAAAAAAGAACCCTAGTATTTATTTAAAGTAAATAAAGCTCTAGTTTGCAAAGGAGAGGAGATACAAGATACTAGACTGCAGTGGAATGGGGATTTAAATTTATCTGAATTCTTAAGCAATTACATCATTTGAACACTGAATGTTTACAAATTGGTATTTGTATAATTTTTATAAGTTTGATTAAGTTGAAAGATTCAAGATGTTAATTAACTAATCAAAATGCAACTAGATTTTTAAATGAAGCAATTTACCATATCATCATTCACAAACCTGATGGGCTCAAATACCGAATAAATGTTATTGATAACTATTTTCTCATAACACAAGGGCCTTAACAAATTTGAATTTAGTAAATATATTTTCCTAACAAACCCATAATTTAGATTAAAGTTAGATTATGTGTGTAAAATTAGGATGGTGGATAAATTATGCAAGCAAATAAAACCATTTTTTTCATATATTTCAGAGGACCAATGCAAGGATATGAATGGATATGAATCCATTTTCTATGTTTAATAGATAATATAATATTATTGTACAAGACAAGAAGAAGATAATAGAGTAGTCTTGGGGGGAGGCAAGGTGATATGAAGGAAGATATTGATTTAATTACAGGCATTATTATATGATATTTATTAACTAAATCCATTTCAATATGGATTGTATCCTAATTATGGGATTCAAAAAAAATTCATGTCTTCATGGACGATCTCATCAGAATAGAAAAAGAATTGATACTACTCTTATTTATTTTATTATTTTTATTTAATCTCTCAATTGGTTTTGAGACTACTGACCATAATATCCTAGACTGCTTCTATAGAGTTAAGTTGCAGAAATAGTGTTTCCATCAACTATGTGATTTCTCAAGATACTATTTTAAATTTATATAAAGCTGCCTTATATAGATATTAGAAAATTTACTTCAAGATATTATCATGTTGAAAACTACCAGTAGTATTTAATTTGGGAGAAACCACATATGACTTAAACCACATATGACCTGAAGAAAATATTGTTTTTCACAAGGTTTAGTTAACGCAACTTGTATTTGAGAATTCACTGGGTAAATTGTTTCCTAAGCTAGATACTCAACAACTACCCTGTTTCTCCAACAATACGGCCTCCCCCAATAGGAAGTCCCAGCATGTTTTATAGGCATGAAATAAAATTAAGCCCCTCCCCCCAAATTAAGGCCTATATTAAAACATGCGAAATGGGGGAAATGGCGGGGGGGGCTTGCTGTTAAGAAGTACTTTTGTTGCACACCCGGATATGGTGCTGCCTGCGTTGACCCTGATACAAAGTGCTCCACCAACGCCGAGGTCAACATCCAGTCGTCGGCGCCCGCCCTAAGATGCAAGGGGGGGGATTAAGTCACTCCCGAAAAGACGGCCTAGCCGTTTTTTCGGGGCTCAAAAAAAAATTAGACCCGGCCTTATTATATGAGAAACACGGTAGCTATACCGGGGATTGTGTTATACTCCTGAAAAAAACAGGTCTGCAATTTGGAAGTTCTAGTACTCATCATTGTTGCTAGAGGTCAAAGGGATCCTCACAGCTAGAAATATTTACCATTAGGTTTGTCAGGTATGTCAGCTACATGCATTTTCTGGACAGCAACAGCTTGCCTATTGTGATTCATGCATCAGTATAGTTCTAATTGCTTCACTGCTTCATATGAAACTGCCCTTGGATGACTGTATTGTAATCCATGTAAATATGACCTTGGAATGGGTTCAGAAATTACAATTATTACAAAACTTAATAGCTTCATTACTGAGGGGGGCATGTACATATTTAATTATGCTAAACAATCTGTAGTGCCCATTGAGCAAGGTTGAGACACTGATATTAATAAAAAATCCTAAACAACCAGACACAAGGTTAAAATTAAGGCTGAGGTTAAGATTCCATCTTAATAATGAGACTTTATTTAAAAGCAACTATTTTACCATTTCTTGAATACAACTAGATATCTCCAGATTTTGGAGGGGTTGGGACCTAAATGTGCTTTGGTTAAGCAGAAACTAAAATAAATATTTTACCAAAACTTACATTATTAAGTTTATTTTTTTCTTTTTCAAATTCTTCCAGTTCATATTGAACATGAGGTATTAAATAATTGGCATGAACGAATAATGAACATGTTTGACACAAGGATTAATATTCAACACTCTACATGTTTTGAAAGAGTGATGTGAATCAGAAGCTACAAAGTTTAAAATGTATCACCAGGTTAGCTACTCAACATGGATTTTGTAGTGGTTTGTATCTTAGATCTAAGAAAATGGCAGGACTTTTAGATGGTTTGCATAAATATATCTGGCTTGAACAAACAACCATTAAGAGATTGTGCAACAGTAAGTGATACACTGAATATTTGTAATAAAACAGGAAAAGAATCCCTTCTAATATCATGATTAAATATTTATTTTTATGACAAGGAAAATTTTAATGGAGTGGTAACAATTAATTCCAATTACAAAATTTGCCATGCTTCCTCATGAAAAAGCCAATGGTTTTAGGTTCCATAATACATCTAAAAAAATGGGTTCAGCTTATTCATGGATGGGCTTACCCACAAATATATATAATTATCCACACAATCAAGTTTAAATTATTTGAAACCCATGACCTTCTTTCACTTTAAGAATGAAACGTTAAATTTACTCTGAATTTTAGATTCAAAGAAAATTGAGAAAGATGTAGTATTGTTGGTACACTAGCTTGGTTTCGATTGCTAAAATGGACATTTCATTTTAAAAAATATGCTGAAAGTACTATGATTAGGTTGGATCAGGTATGTTGTTTGTGTGTGTGTGCATGTGTGGATGTTTGGTGGCAATGTTGTAAAGCTCAACAATTCTAAAAAAATGATTCATATTACTATTAAACTAATATTAAAAGTTGAATTTCATTTCAACCTACAATATTTCTATTACACTTCACTAGTCCATATATCTCTCAAAAGGTACTAACTTACTTGTGTGTATAAATATCAACAATGATACCTGTCTTCTTTTGGTAAGATTATCTGATCCCTTTTATGAAAAAATAGCTAACCAAATTGCGGGAACACGCTGCAATGTCCAGAATAACTCCCCACCTTAAAAACAAATCTGACACAGATTTCAACTCAAACTGGAAATTGCTCTTAGACTAACCTAAAGAACGGATTGGTATTAGTGGTGGGATTCAAACATTTTTACTACCAGCTCTGTGGATGTGGCTTGGTGGGCGTAGCAGGGGAAAGATACTGCAAAATCCCATTCCCTCACCACCCCACTAACCTGCTTTTAAGCTCCCTTCTCCTGTACAGGGCAACAAAAGAAGACCCAGCCAATCAGCTGGGACTCAGGAGGCAGAGAATAGATGTGGGCAGGGCCAGACAAAAGTAGTATTTGCCGGTTCTCTGAACTACTCAAAATTTCTGCTACCAGTTCTCTAGAACTGGTCAGAACCTTCTGAATACCACCTCGGATTGGTACTACATCAAAAATCTAGGTATATCTAAACACAGAATCTATATTTTAATGATATGAAATATCTAACTGAGAACAGTTTTCTTTTTTAAGAAACATAGAATGAACCTTACTACAATGTACAATTCCATATGGTAATATATATGCAGACCATTTTGTGATTAGGCTGGCCCATCATGGCAGCCATTTAATGAAGGTACTTATAATATGCTCTCATTATCTAAATAAGCTGTTTCCCCTAAATTTGCTAGGGGTCCCAAAGTAAATCAATATGTTAACAGATCATGGAAGAAATTCATAGTCCAAGTAATTGATAATTCCAGGTACTTGTTCGCATCCTTAAATTCCTTTCCTATTTTTCACATTTCTCCAACAATGTTACACCACAGTTCATATTAACCATTAAGCGTGATAAGATTTTATATCCTTTAATTAAACTTATCTTTACTGAGATGTCTAGACTGCTAGAAAGAAATGCTAGATAGTATGTCTCAATCTATCAAATTTGGCAGCTTCTAACAAAAATGAGAATCAGAGTCAATTTCCAATTGTCCAGTTTCTTGGATAAATATAAGTTCAACTGTGCTCTCAAACTACTGAGTTCTGCTTCCTGCAGCTTAAAATTTATTTGAACCATGCTTGCATCACAAATTCTCAATAATATGTCCGTGTTCATTTATTATATCAGTGCATATAACATTCATTAGACAGTCTTTGAAGAAGACAGAATATCAAAGCCATTATGCTCACATGTTCAATAAAATAATTATTTTAACTTAACTTGAGAGGGAGAGACTCTATTTTCAAATTCAGCAATGAAAAAAAAAACTGACCTGACTTTGAGTGTAAGTTTTTTCTTGGCTCTTCCGGCCCTTCAATTGGTTGGTCGGCAAGGAACATTCGTGCTTGATCGACAGCACTTAAAATCATTTGCTCTTTTTCCTTCAGTTCACGTCTGAGTGCCTTTCCAAAAAACAAAACAAGGATAATTTGTAAATTCACACTGCAGGCAATCTGCAGAACAGCAGCCCGCTCTTTTCATCCACTCGATCAAACTTATAATACCAAAAATATCCACTTTACCAGACACAGAGATGGAATAAATAAATATAGCGTGAAAGAACATGCAAAACTGATCTGAAATATGGAGGCAAGGCAGGCATTTTAATAGACTAAATTCAAAAATATAAAAGCAAGAGAAAAATCCTATGTGGAATCAAAATATTATGCTCAAGCAATTTCAGAAATAACCCATGAGGATTACGTTTAAAGGATAACACCATTAATGACAATACAGTCAGTCCTCGGTTTACAACCATTTAGTGACTGTTTGAAATTATGATGGCACTGAAAATAGTGGCTTATGACCAGTCCTGGCACTTGCAACCAATGCAGCGTCTCTGAAGTTACATGATCAAAATTTGGACCCTTGGCAACTGGCATCAATTTATGATGGTTGCAGCATCCTGGGATCATCTAATGTCCATTTGTGACCTTCCCAGCCAGCCTACAACAAGCAAAATCAATGGGGGGTAAGCTGGATTTGCTTAAAGACCAAGGGTTCACTTAATGACCACAGTGATTCATTTAGAAACCATGGCAAAAAGATTGTAAAATCAGGCCTGACTCGCTTAATATGCAAATAATGCGTCTACATTATGAATTGCCCAGAGAGTGTTGTAAAGTGCTATGAGGTGATATATAAACCTAAATACTATTGCTATTGCTAAATGCTATTAACAGCTGTTTCACTTAGTAATTGACATTCTGGTCCCACTTGGGGTTGTAAGTCAAGGACTAGCTGTATCATTATACTATCTAGTCTTGTGTTCTCCTCTGCAGTCTGGAAGTGATAAGTGGTGAAATTATTAGTGTTGTGGAATCATGGCTATGTCTTGTCAACAGAATGTAGAAGAACACCTAGGAAAAAGCTATAGAACACCATATTGCCTTAAAAGACCACTGCAACTTTTTAGGTCAAATGTTTTCAACCAAGTGATATTAATGTCAGTCCCATTCCAGTATACCTTACCTCAGCCAGGAGAAAGAGACCGAAAAAGAAAATCCCAAGTTAGCAAATAAATGAGAACGTTTGATTTATTCTAAAATAAGGAAGTGGAGAAGCTTCCTTGTCTATGGAGACTCTCAGTCTTCCAGGTCAGAGTTGTCCCCAAAGGTGCTTTTTTCCAAAGTGCAATTGGATTTTCTTTTTCTTTTTTCTCTGAAACGTTTCCTTTGATAATGTTTCACTTCTCATACAAGAAGATTCTTCACTTCAGAAATGCAAAATGTTTTCAAAGGAAAAAAACAAGAAAGTCCAGTTGCCTTTTGGAAAAACCACCTTAGGGATATCTAGCTTCCTTGGCTGGTGCAGGAAAAGGTTGTTTTTATCCTTCTATATTTATGTTTATCCTTTTGTCCATAGCACAAATGTCATTAATTTAAAAATATGGATCTAGTCTGATATCTTGGATTAAGGGCATAAATCTATTGATTTCTCTTGAAATGAAGAGATTTATACTCAACTGATCTTTGTAACTTTAATTAAACATAAAGGAAAATATGATATGCTTTAATTTTGTAAATAAACTTGCTTAGCAGTATCTCTTGCCCTTATATCGTTTCTGAATTAATTCTGTTAAGGCTTGCAAGGAGCCTTACACAAATATAAAAGGAAAATATTCTTTTACTCAGGTAATAGAAATGAAAACTTTCTTGCAGTCCTTACTAAGAATGCTGTACTTTACTTATTAGATAAGCAACACATGAATACATGTGGAAACCTAGTATACTATAGATCCCAGAGAACAAAAGTACAGTTTTTATGCAGTTAATGGCCAGAGGACTAGGTGTCCATTAGAATCCAAAATATTCTATACGGTGCACTAAGATATTTATGTTTCTATTTATTTATGTATACCCCATCTTTATTATTTTTACAAATAACTCAAGGCAGTGAACATATCCAACACACCCTCTTTCTCCTATTTTCCACACAAAAAACACTCTCTGAGGTGAGTTGTGCTGATAAGAGTGACTGGCCTAAGGTCACCCAATTGGTTTTCATGGCTAAGTTAGAACTTGAGCTCACAATCTCCCACTTTCTAGCTTTATGCCTTAACCACTAGATCAAATTGGTTCTCTATCTCTAACACAGCAACCCACACTGACAAAGACTTTACTGCTATTGAAATTATAGTCTCATTGTCTTTTTTTTTTTTTAAAAAAAGGCTAAAGTTTAAAGCTTAATAATGGCAGAGAGTGGTGCTGTTCCCACACACACACACAGATTTCCATCTTGAGAAAACTTTTGAGAACATGTTTAAAGTAGCTTGCAACATAGTAGAACTATTTCTTTGAATGATAATATGTTTCTCAAATGCAATATCTAGATCTCTGCTACAGTCCAAACTATGATTAAGTAGTCAAAACTTATTCTAATAGCGTTTGTTTCAATAGGTTATATTTATCAATATTTACCATATTAAAAATTAAAATAGATGCATTTGCTGCCACTATTACTTCTGACAATTGTTTGATGAGGTTTTCATATTATGTCTTTTTCAGCATAGACTGGCAAATAATTTTGATTTTGTGGACCCCCTCCCCCGCCCCCGAGACTCTAGGACCATAGTTTAGGAAATAATGATTTAGAGTTTTGGTAATAAGGAAAAAAAAACCAGAAATGTACTGCTATCGTCCCATACAATACCTATATTAGCACCTATTAATTAGTGGAAGATATTTACATAATTTACGGACTAAAATATCAGATATTATTGCCCGTCTGACATTTTAAAGAACACTCTTATAATACAAAATGTTGATGTTATTGTGGATTTTCTTTGCACCACAACAAATAAGGCAACCAGAAATAACTTTATTTCACATAGAGAGAGCAACTTTTCTGTTACAAATTTCAGCAGTAAAGTTCAAGTGAGTATTAAGCTCCCTAAGCCTTACAGATATTTGCATCATTCATAATATTATTTCTAAGCATGCATACTATTATAAAACAAACTCCTTCAAAGATTATATGTCACATATATTTTTGAAGGCCCTTAAACATGAGTAGTAGTTGTGGTTATTCCCCTCAAACACGTCTGGAACCGATATGAGCCACTCTTATGCTTGGACAAAGGTGTCAGGTCAATGATAGTTCACCTCTAAGTAATATAGCATTACTGGCTTCACTCTGGCTCAGCTCTTTAAAGGGCAATTGTATGAGGAGGAAACTTAATACTATTGTCAATGTTCTAAGTTTATCCTCCACAATAAACTTTGGCTGCTACTAAAAATCAAATTTTAACTTGTTATTCCACACTAAAAATTCACTCTGCAGCATGTCTGAAATCCAAAATGAAATGGACACTAGGTTTCTATTACCTTAAAAACATTGATTGCTGGTTAATTTTTTTAAAATAAAAATGCTTATTATTGTTTCAAATTGTTTTATTTATATATAAGCATGAAAAAAAATAGACTTAGAGTAACCCATTCTATTGGTTACTGGGATAAATTTAAGCCAGATTGATTTTATTGACTTCAGGCTAAGCATAGCTAACGGTAAAATTCAAGATTCTATGTCCAATGGCTGAATTTCTTTATTCAGCAAAACTCAGGAATTGATCCTGTTCTGTAACTCTTTTAGAAAGCCACTTTTAGAAATTCAGGAATTTCTACAGCAAGTTTGATGAGGACTCAGGGAGACAACTTTAGGAAAGAATAAAAAGTTCCATTATGTGATTGACTTCTATTCAAATAATATTGACTGTCCTTAGAATTTCTAAATCATAAACATGCAGGCTATTCAAAATAATTACTTCATCAGCCAATCCACTAAAATATGCACAATTGATCAAATTAGTTTCAAACCCAGAGGTAAACCTGACTGAATATAATGGGCTTTAGTTTCTCATAATGCACAAATAATTATCCTAAAATATTTCTTTTAACATTTAAATTCTTTTTTCTATGGCAGGAGAATATATTAATGTTTAACCCATAGCACATGAATACATAATTTGCAACTCAGTAAACATTTATTCAATTATTGTTAGCATGTTTACTTTAATATATTCAATGCAAAGTTCATGAAAATGCTAAAAATATCGTGATTCAGAAAAGGATATGAATGCGAAGAGAATGTTAACCTTAAGCCTAGTGTACATAGAAATGCTTAAAAGTTTGTGAAATCTTAATAATAGTTCATAATAAGGAAATATTTTGTTCACTTTTATTTTTAATGTGCAGCTCCCAACTCACCATTAATTGGTGTACACTCAATCCTAAAAAAAAGGTCAAAACTCATTTTCCTGTAAGCCAGTAAATGCATCAATATCCGAATAAATATAGGAAAGACATCCTTCCCTTCCTTATACTTGAAGGAATAATATATAACTAGAAAGGCTCCAAAAACCCCAGCAAAATGTGCCTAATCCATTCTTCTGTTCTGGTCAGACATGTTTCAGAAGATTGTAAACTACAAGAGAGTTACTTAAATAATGAAAAAAAATTACACAATCAAAGAAAATTAATTTCAAACCAAAAGAATACAGAAATAACTATTCAATCTTTCCTTCGGGAAAAAATAGTAATTTACATATCACACAGAATACCTTAAATTTGAATGTGATGGAAACAACATGAATTATTAAAAGATAACTTGAGTGAAATTACGTTGCTCATAAATCCCTCTAATAATTTAATTTCACTGTAAATTTTGAGTAAAAACAACCTAATAGAAACGAATAGTAAAATCATGTTTCCATTAGTTTTAATCATGTACCTAACAGTCACATACAATTACAGGCTTCACAAGAAGGAACAATCACGGGGCTGAAATCTTTGTTCTAAATTACTTTGCTATGCCTGTTTATTCACAGTTACTCAAAACATATTGATTAAATTTCCAAAATAGAGCTACCACACTTGGAGCTTGGGTAACAAAAATGATGAAGAAA